GTTTTGTGGTCCCACCAGTTCTCGCTTGCAGGCAAATGGTACTTCTTGCAGATATTCCAATGCACCATTATTTCTACCTTGTCATATCATTGTTTGTAATCAGTCTGCAATCTTCTTGCAGCAGCTAACTTGGTGGTATTACTATTATTTAATGATTGTATGTTTTATGATTTACCTAGGTAAGCTGCCCAGGATCCTATAGCATAGAAATTGTATAAGATAAATAAAATAAATAATTGAAAATAAAATTGATCCATAGCCTTAACAGCTGGCTGACCTTCGCTGACCTTGGCTAGATTTGGAAGCTAAGCAGGGTCAGGCGTAGTAACACTTGAATGGGAGACCACTGAGGAATCTAAGGGCTTTAGGCTAGACTGGGTAGTCAAGGGGCATTTTGGAAGAAGGCAACAGTAAACCACTTCCATACAGTTGCCAAGAAAACTACATGGATGTGTCATTGAAGTTACCTCAGAGGAGACTTTACTTACAGCCATATTTATTGAATGGTTAGTGCATCTAGGAAATAGATTTGTAAATGTACATGGAACAAGTAATGTAAATTTATAAGTCTGTCTGCCTAAGTTTTAGATTTGTATTTAATTTGCTTTGTGGGTCGTCGAGGTTCTTCCTGCAAGCTCTAAAAATGGCTGTCTCACATTTAACAATACATTTGCAAAGCAGCTTAATATGATTTGTGCTTGAATTCATACTTCAGATGGGAATTCAAGTTATGATTATTTCCTGCTCTTCAAATCATCAAGGCCTCCTGAATATATTCAACTGAAAAACAGAACTGTCTTAACAGTCTTTTATATCCAAGACTTGTAAAGGATCAATATAGTTCCCATCAGAACAGTAAATTACTTACTGAAACGCTTCCAGGAATTATAATGTACAATTTCGTATTAACTTTTCTTTTTCTCCAACTAGAAGCTTCTTCACTGTGTTGGATAGCTGGTGTTCCCCCACCCTCACTCGAAAACTATGGATAGTAAATGAATAATTAGCTCATTCTACGCTCAGGGTTAAATTTAGGATTGCTGCTATTCATTAAAGAGGAGCCATGTCAAAGTGAAGCCTTTCTCCTGATACGTCTAAGTTCTGCTATGTTGAGGATTGCATTCTGAGGCCACCACGTCACCACAGGCATCATCAATCCTTTGACACAGGTGAAGTCAAGAAACAGAAGCAGCAGGATTCCAGGAATACTTTTACTGTTTTCGGGTAGAATAACAGAATCATGAAAGCCTGTTAGAGCTTCTCTCTGCTATACCTTATGCCAAACAAAATCAAGGAGAGGCTACTTTGAGTTTATTTCTCACACTTTCCTCTTTCTCAGGACCTCTTTTCTCCTCCCTTAAGGGTTCATTGCTCCCTTCCCAAGGCCAAATCTACATTCATTCATGTATAGTATTTAAATACTGTTACTGAGAAGCAATAGTGGAAGACAGCTATCATCATCTGTCATGGGATCTTCCTAAGGGCAACTGGCCACCCACAGAATGCTGGACTGGATGAATCATGGACCTGATCCAGCCTCAGGATTCTTCTACTGTTCTGCTTCAGCCCTGTTAATCTCCTTCAACAAAGTAGTGTATGATGGGGATAGCATTAGCAGAATTCATATGCCATGAATCTTTTTATTTCAAACCCATCCTTATTAGAAGTTATGGGGAAAGATTATCCATGCGGTCTGTGTTTATGCTCTTCTAACATCTACATTCATGTTTCTCTATGGTGTCAAAAATAGGCATGAGAATTGAGGGATCACTTGTATATATCAGAGTGTGCAAAGTATCTTATAGTATCCTTAATTTCACATGCCTACCAAAATAATGCTTGGGATCATCCAACATACATTAGAGCTCTACATGGAAAAGCAGATGCTAGCCTTAGAAAAGTCTGAGGAGCACATTAGTTAATTGAGAAAGTCAAATAATAATAACCCAAAGAAGTCAGTGTGTGCTTCATTGATTATAGAAAGGCCTCTGATTGTGTCAACCATGTCAAGCTGTGGAATGTGCTTAGAAAAATGGGAATCCCAGAACATCTCATTGTTCTGCAAAATGCATATACAGATCAGGAAGTCACAGTATGAACAGAGCATCCAGGTTGGCAAAGGAGTGAGCCAAGGCAGAATATTCTCCCCTTATTTATTCCATTTATATGCTGGATTGAGGGAAGCTGGATTGGAAGAAGATGAGCACGGTTTTAAAATTAGAGGAAAGAGCATCAATAACCTATGCTGTGCTGATAGCTGAAAATGCAAATGATCTGCAATCTTTATAATGAAAGTTCAAGGAGTGCAGTGAAAAAATGGGACTAAGATTAAACATAAACAAAATCAAATGAATGGCAACAGATACAGCAACCAGCCTTAGAATTTACAATGAAGATATTGAAGTAGTAGATAGCTTCTGCCTTTTAGGATCGACTACCAGCAGTGAAGGAGCCAGCAATCAGGAATTATGCCACAGACTAGCACTTGGTAGAGTAGACATAAAGGCCTTGGAAAACATACTCAGAATGTGTCTATACCAACAAAGATAAGAATCCTGCAGGCAATGGTTTTCTCTGTGACAGTCTATGGAAGCTAAGTTTGGACTTTGAAGAAGCAAGACAGAAAGAATATTGATGCTTTTGAACTTGGTGTTTGAGAAAACTCCTGAGAACACCATGGACAGCCAAGAAAGCAAACGGATCGTTAAACTAATCAAGTCAGATTTCTCACTTGAGGCACAAATAGCCAGGCTCAAATTGTCATACTTTGGACACATTATGTGAAGGCCTCATTCTCTGGAGAAGTCTATAATGCTGGGAAAGAAAGAAGAAAGAGAAGGAGAGGATGACCAGTAGCAAGGTGGATGGACTCAGTTACAGTGGCAATGGGTCTATCATTGGAAGACACGAAGGATGAAGTTGGGGCCAGATCCTCCTGGATGAAATCTATCTGTTTGGTCACTAAGAGTTGACATTGGCTTGATGGCACATAATCAAAAAATGTATGTGCAGGTACATGTAACATGGAATTCTAGTAGAAGGTGAGCTCAAAAACCTGGTGCCGCAGTGTGTATATACTGGATACTTAGTTTTAAAATGGCTGCTAACTGAAAATGCTGTGGTTTCTGATTTCGTTTGTTTTTTATATGCATTTCTGAAAATAAAAGAGGTCTGGCAAATCTATTATGGCTTCTTTCAAGCCCCCCCACCCCCCAAACTGGCAATTGGCCCAAAAGTTAAACAAATCAAGATTGGGGTGTGTACAAATCAGTTATCTCAATGTCTTTGGGTGCACTCTGTCCAACATTAAATTGATCAAAGAGCAGATTTTGTTCTTGTTCATTTTGCTAAATGCTTAGATTATGGCAAGGGTTCTAATGCAAGTTAATGATGATGGGTATAGAAGTGGAAGACTGGTGTTATACTGTTTTGGTCAATGGACTGCACTGAAGGAAGAGTTGGAAACTGCTAGGTTCAGGTTCTGTGAACAGGATTGGACCAAGTTAATACCTAAAAACAAGTTAATGCCTATTTTTAAACAAACTGGAATAAGAAATGGAGCAATAAGTATACTTGTTTGTAGGTTGTTCCAACCCAAAACCAACCAGCTGTTGTTCACCTTTACCCTGAGTGCAGCCTTCTCACTAAAAAAGCCTTTAGCTGTGGCACTGTCAAGACTTTGATGAAGAGAGTCTGCAGAGTCAGAGGACAGTAAAGTCATCTCATCAATCCTCATTTCATGAGTGTTACTGGGAGGGAAGGGAGGGAAGGGAGGAAGTAGAGACTTAGACATGTGTTTCCAAAATTTGATCCTCTTCCTGGCTAGAGAAATTGTTTATGTTGGCCAGTTCTTTCCTTGAAGAGGAAGAACCAGAGACTTGAGTCATGATGCTTTGTTTCCACGGGAGAACAATATGTCTGAACCCATTGCATTTCCTCTTCCTGAATAAAGCTATCACATCAAAAATATAGACTTCACCTTCCTAGCTTGGAGAGTTCCATGAGTTCTTGATGAGGGGGGAAATCAAGCATCAGTTTCTCAGAACTGATTCCATGGTAGTACTTCTGATGAATGGTCATGTACCACAACAGGAAATTCAGGGGCTTATGATCCTTTGTGAAGATTGCCCTCAGGGTGACTTGGTTCCTGTTAAGTGGTGTTTCCACTGGTCCATCACCCAGCCAAATTCCTGTTGTATTTGCAAGTTTTGTGTTAAAGTCCTTTTTGCCTGCTGCCCTTTCTATTGTGTTTTAATATTTTTGATAGTTTAATTGATTTTGTTACACTACTTTGGCCTTGTCTTCAGTTATGGGGGATGCATTCTGTATAAACTAGCAGAATAGATATTGTAGATAAGTACAACCACTTTATACTGGGCCAGACAAATCGCCCCTCAACCAGTACTATTTGTTTCCTAACTCTTCATTAAAGATATCTCCCATTACTTGCTAGAATAGTGTTTCTCAACCTCAACAAAGATGTGTGGACTTCAACTCCCAGAATTCCCCAGCCAGCAATTCTGGGAGTTGAAGTCCACACATCTTAAAGTTGCCAAGGTTGAGAAACACTGTACTAGCAGTTCCTCTTAAGCACAGCGGCCAGGGCTTGAACTTGAGATCTTAAGTATATAAAACATATGGTCTCCTCATAAGCAATTGTCGTCATAACTTCCCTTTGACCATAACATATAAGCCCAGCTCCTTTCCTATTACAAGTGTATGCACTGGAATCTAAATGAGTTATTTCATCCTTTTAGCCTGATTCTGAATCTGGATCTCCAGTGTGGAATATAATTAAAACACTAAGCCAACAAATATTTCGGAGCCTCCTTTTCCCTTGCTCTATCCCATTGTGAGTCAGATTGTTTCAGAGAGAATATCTGTGCTGCAGGCAGGTTTTCTCTCCTAGAATAAGGGCATTTAGAGCATGTAGAATTTTTATTCATTAAATGGAAATCCTTGAGTAATCCCTCTTTCTCTGTCTCTTCTTTCGGATCCAGGCCGCGCATTGCTCAGGCTTACAGACAAAAAGCTTGAGCGTATGGGGATTGCTCAGGAGAGCTTACGACAGCATATTCTGCAGCAAGTCCTCCAACTGAAAGTGAGAGAGGAAGTTCGAAACCTACAGCTACTCACACAAGGTAGGAAATATTCAACTAAAGGACTGCAGAAGGTGAGAGGGAAAGGTCACCTTCAAGCAGGGAGAGATTACTTTGATGCTCTCCAGCATGAACTGTTGCACAAGGAGGTCTCATGCACTAGAGCACTTTCTCTTGCGTGGAGCAAAAGGAAAATAATAAAAACAGTTGGTTTATGTATTATGGATTACCTGCCTGTTATGGTAACAGCATTTTTCTAAAAAACAAAACAAAAAAAACCCTCTACTGCTTCCTAACACATATTTGCATACACAAACTGGTCCTTCTGGAAACAAGCATATTCTTTGTTAATTAATGAAAATGAAATAGTGATAATTTACTTCTGTATCACTCATCCTGCTGAGGAAATAATTCGTTGTTTGACTAACTATGGGTTGATTCTGAAGACAGGAGCTTTGCACTTAATTATTTGGATTCCAGTGTTAATATCATTCTCATGTTGAACTCTTCTATTGTCTGAAATCCAGCTGGGCAATATTAGGAATATACTGTATGTTTGTTTGTGCTGTGATATCAGTACTGGCTGTTTCTGTCACCTTCTATCATGAATTTCTGCTTGCAGGATTGGCAAAGGCTGGAGCCAACATATCTAAAAGGTGCTAGGTTGGAAAAGCCTGCATAGATGGAGGAAAAGGTCTAGGCAAAGCTATTTTCAGCAACAGAGTTGTGTTAACTTTAATGCTGAGTTCTTGGGATCATAGTGAGGCTAAGTCCCTGGCCCAGGTGAAATCCTTTATTACCAAACTCAACATAATTCTAGCAGTCTACTGTCTAGGAAGCTCTTCCAAAGCTCATACCAAAAAAGTTGAAACTTATCCTGGAAAAAACTGAGCAAATATATATTCAACCAGCACCATAGACTCGTCTGTCAGCTTGGAGCCAAAATTGGAGTACATGTAAGAGATTTGATCACAAAGTGTTTTGCAATAGCTGTTCACCAATAATTCTTATTAGCCTGGACCCAAAATACAATATCACTTTAACTACTTGGAACAATTCAGCTTAATGACACAATGCTGTCATTAATTGCTTTACTGCCTTATTTGATGACTCCCAGTCCTTGACCTTTTCAGAGTGCAGAAGAAGACTGTACAAGGGTCAGACTCAAAGATGGCTCAAGGGATGGAAAGTGGATCCAATTTTGAGGGCCCTTCTGGGTCAAAGGATTGACCTACAGCACAATCTCCATCTTGCCAAAGTTTAAGACTGTGAAATCAAGCAAAGACCCTTTAATTTTCTAGCCTTCGCTAGAAGATATGGAGATGCTGACATGATAAACTTTGGATCTCAACATAAAACTTTAACTTGTTATTAAGCAAACATCTTCCTATTGTTCTAAATGAGGAAGCTTTAGCTAAGAAAATTGATTTGGAATTATCGTAATCCCTTGATTTGGCCTGCCAAATCTGATTTCTTTCCTGACTTGATCCAGTCTTGCCTGATTAATCCAAGATGTAATTGGTTTAATTTCTGAGCCTTGTGTAGCCTCACAATAGAAACGTCACAGAATAGATGTTAAAATGGGTGTTAAACTTTAGCTTCTCAAGTTTAGCTTCTCAAAAAAAAAGAAAGAAAAGAAAAGACCAAAATAATGCAAAAGGAATTTAAGTGTTCAAGGTCGTCAAGCAAGTTGTTATACTGAATACAGGCTAGGAAAGAAGCAAGAAAGTCCATAAAGTAGGTTGGGTTTTATGTTCACGGCTTAAAGTCTAGTTCCAAATCAGTTCCAAGATAATGATTGTGTAGCATATACAGTATTAACAGTAGATGTTAATAAAAGAAATAAAATAGTTGCTCCTACACCTCTGAAAACACAACAGTTAGTTCTCAGTCTGCTTTTGCCGAGTGTAAAGGACATAGGCATCCTGGCCTAGCAGACCATAGAACAGAAGTAAAGTAACATTTCTGCACATTTATTTCTACTAACAAAACCAGAGAGTAATTTTGGATGGTTCCATAATTAAAAGCCAATTCCTGCAGTATTATTAATAGCTGGAAGGAACCAGACCCATTAGACCAAGGAGCCCAAGTTCTAAGTGCAGAGTCCATTAGAGTTGGGTGACTATAATAAAAATAATAATAATAATTAATAATTAATAATAAAAATAAAGGGAATGTTTAGGTCTGATTATGTCAAGAATCTTTCCTGCTTTCGACTTATGCACATATCCCTGCAAATGTGGATATAAATATTTTTATAAAGAAATAAATAATGCAGGTTATACTGCCATATTACAGTTCATCTTCAGTTGCCAATTCTAGTTATTAGCAAATCCCCAAGTGTATTGTTTCAATCCATTTCAGATTTCTTCTACTGGTTATCTTCAACCAAATCTAAAATCTATTATGTAGGTTTTTTGCCCATGACAGTGTTCCTTCAAACTCTCGGATCACATTCCTTGGGTCAGGCTTGTACTCCCCCACATGTATAGGGCAAGCTATTAATTGAGATGGACCTATAATTGTCATAACATTCTTCCTTGCTCCAGGAGTCCTGAGTATACATATTAAATTTCCTTAAAATAATATTGAGTGAAGTCAACATCACCTCCAGAAGCTTAAGTTGGAAGACAGTGAGAGAATAGTACATCAAGGGAAATTTAGTCCTGTCTCAGTTCCTACCACTCATACATATACACACTCTCAAATCCTAGATATGGCTAAAGAGAGTACATTAATAGGAGAATGATTAATGATAAATAATTATAATTTTACCTCCACATTTATTGAACCTCACTGAAATGGAAAAACTGATGGCATTGTTTGGTGAAACTGAGTCTCTTATCCTCATTCAATCATGTTCACTCATACATAAAATCAACATTGGTCAGATTCATCCTGAATCATCAAGGTATTCCTAATTACTGACCTCTATTAAACAGTAGCATTTTAATTTAACTTTCGCTTGAATGGTAAATCAGACAAATTGGCCGTGAGATGTTTCCTCTTCTCTACTAGCCTTTTCCTCCTGCTCCCTCTTCCTTTTTAAATAACGTATTGATATCTTGTTCCTTTATTGCTCTTCAAAAATCCAAAAAACCCAAATTAAAATAGTCTAGTCATTAAATGCAGAAGAGACATATGAAAGAATAGAGGAATTTACAGAGGCTGGTTGTGATAGTCCTCCAAATAGCCAGCCACAAAATTTGATTACATAAATCTGGATGTTGCCTGTACTCATAGAATATAGCTTGGAATTCCAGATGATATTCTAGACTTTCTCACTTGGTTCCAGTCTTTTCCCTTCATTTTCAAGGCAAGGACCAGGTAATATGCATTTATTTCTATTTCCCTTGTGAAGCCAAGGCTGCGAGCATCGAGTTTTCTTCTTTAACTTTAACATAAGCCTATGAGGTAGGTTGGGCTGAGAGACAGTAAGTGGTGGTTGAGTGGGGACTTCAATTTTGTCTAACACCCTAACCATTACAAACTATGTGCTCTCTTTATTGGGTGGAATGCTGAATTTGTCCATTTTTCTTTGTTTCCTCTTGTTGCCTAGCACTTCCTTTGTGCCATATTGCTAAAATATCAATATGGGATTCTTACCATTGTTCCTGACCAGTTTTTTGTTCAGAACCCTCTTACAGATGGAAGAATGAGATCTGACCTCTGTAAAAATTAGATCAGATTTGCAGTTGTTTTCAAAGATAATATTGCAAATTTGAGCCAGCTTCCTCTCTGCAGCTGCATATTTGAATCAGCTTCCTTTATTAGTTATCCACTTTGATGGCTTCAACAAACAACTTACCATGGGTCATAACAATTATTTTTGGATATTCATTCATAGTTTCAGAGTCTCAAGATTCAAGCTGTCTGTGAATATACACCATGACTACTACTACTACTACTAGATCTCCTTAATGCATGATTGGTTGAGTACGGTTTCATAACCAATACACTCTTGTGGGTGCTAGGGGCTACGGGTGTTTGATGCAATGTCTCACCAAAGTGCCTTGTCCATTGCTGTGGCTTCAGCTTGATTCAAATCCATCTGCAACTGCATTTGATGTTATGTACTGGCCTGCTCTTTGGAAAGCATTTGCTGATGAGATAAGGCCAAGTATAAGCACACTTATACATCATGGTACGAAATGGTAGGGTAGTTATAAGAACATTATTTTTCTCCCTAATTATTTGCAGGGTCAAACTTTACTAATAAATATTATTTTGCCATGCAGTGCAATCATTTTCTCTTGTCAAAAAATGAAGGTATGCATGGGGATGGTGTCTGGAATTGTGATGCAGAAAAAAAGAAAATGGACTTTGAATAGTGGGTTTTTGCATTGATGGAAAATATCTGGGACAAATTATGTGAATCCCTTTCAGATAGTTGACCTTGAGGGAAGCAATTCTTAACATTCACCTTTTGAGTGAAGTCAGGGCTATGCCAGTCAAGGTTGTGAGCCATTCACAAGACTTAGATTGGGGTGAATAGTTCACTGTAGTCCTATTGATGGTTTAGATATAGCCTTGAATGGAAGAGAAGGTCTCACCTCAGTGGAATGATTGACCAAGATATTTTTCAGGCCATCCCAATGATCTTCCTTTGTTGAAACCAACTATGTTATTACCAAGGGGATTCATTTTGTCACTTTCTAAAACTCCAGTTATCTGCTATCCTCTGGATGATATACAAGAAGGCTTTAGGCAAAAATTGCTTAAATTCAAAATACTGTAATGTTGGTGGGGTATTATTAAAGGGATGTTGACTTTTGTGAATGTGGCAAATCTGTGTTGGGGATTAGGACATTTATTCATAGAAAAAGAATTGTTAAAAAAGCAACACATCAAATATCATCAATGCTTTTATACATACAAATCAATCACATACTTGGAATATTGCACCCAGTGTTAGTCTTCAAAGAGGACTTCAAAGAGGATACTATAGATCTCTCGTGACACCCTTCATAGGAGGCTGTGGAGATCTGGCTAGGGAGGAACAAACTTAGATTCAACCCTAATAAGACTGAGTGGCTGTGGGT